ATTATTTCATAGAAGGACCTGGTTCTATCCGGAACACAGAATGATCTGTTACTGCCCCCTATTGCCTTTGTAAAAACTCAGGGTTTAGGACATTCACAAACAGCTTTTCAAGCTTTACGATACCCGTGAGGTGTCCTTCACTGTATGCATTTATGTGATCAAGTCAGGAACTCTCGGACATGCTCATGTGCACATGTGCTGAATTGAGCAAACCTGAGCACGCTGTGTCAGAATTGTGATATTTCTTGGAATTATAGTGAAATCTTTGAGAGTCAAAACTCAACAGAACTGCCTTGTTTGCCAGTTCCTGCAAGTTTTCTGTCTTTCTCAAGGTCCAGTCTTCCCATTTTCAGTAATTCTCTATTAATGGAAAATACTGGGTTTTCTTGGACAGGTTTCCACCTTACCCAGGTTTGAGCTTTCATAGGTTTACGGTACATCCAATATCACTTTCCTGGAGAGCTCTGGTGGGCTAGTTCATAGGGAATTGCCTTCCAAACCCAAAGGCAGCTGGTTCAAATCCACTAGGTGTCCCCCCAGGCTGTAAATATCTTCCATGCCATTTACAGCCTCTGAAAACCTGCTGGAAGTCAGCTATGAGTCAGTTTCAACAGAGAGCCAAACTTATCCATAATTTGTCCAGAACTAGTTGTCAATCCCATATAACTCCCTGGCCTCCCTCACTAGATGGTATATACTTGTGTCCTTCTCATCACGGACAGCTACTTTTTCACAGGGTGAAAAGCTACCTTAATCATAAAGTAAAATTGATAGAGCTAAAAGTGATTAATAGTCTATAGGGAATAAAACATACAGTATGGCATTCATAAAAGCAAATCAAAAGAACTTTGAGTTAATCACTTGGTGATACCTTCATTTCCATTCTTCTCTACCATTATAAAGAATGTTATTATATCCCGTTGAGTCAGAAATGACCCACAACTGACCCTTCAGTGGGTTTTCAGAGACAGTAAATTGTACAGGAGGAGGCTGCCCACCTTTCTGCTGCAGAGCAGCTTTATTCAGACTGGGTGCCGTAGAACTGGCAGCGTCACTCCTTAGCACTGAGCCGCAGAGCTCCCTAATACAAAGAGGGGCTGTCTGTGTGTGGATGCGGTTGTAGGCAGATGCCGTTGTAGTCAGATGCCATTGTAGTCAGATGCCATTGTAGTTAGATGCTGTAAAGTTGCCGCCAGCTCCTAACATCTTGATGTGCAACCAAACAACGTGCCACCTGGTCCTGCCACCTCCTGACATGGGCAGCTGTCTTTTAACTCATCGTTTAGCTCGTGTCTGTCTTCTTGTGCCTGCGTACCCTTTACCATGCATGAGGTCCTTCTCCAAGAATTGGTTTTTCCTGATGTCATGTCCAAAAGAAATGAGACACAGTCTCAACACCTTCACGTCTAAGGAGAAGTCAAGTCAGAACGTACTTTTTCCAAGACCCAGTCACTCACTCATTGGTATTTGGTTAGAGGTGACTCGCAGCTGACCCACTCACTAGTGGGTTGTCAGGGGCTTTAAATCACACAGGATATGATTATCCATCCTTATCCCAAGGAACCACGGGTGGGTTCGAACCACCAGAGAGGTGCCATGTTTGGGTTCACAGCACAACTCTCTAAAGGCTACGCCTCATTTATTTATTCTTTTTGACAATCCTGGGGTGGTGGTGATTTATGTGCTGTCAAGTTGCCTGCAACCCGTAGTGACCCTATGCACGACAGCTCTGAAGCCTGCCCTGTCTTGAGCCAGTCTCCAACACACCTATCCCTATTGCCCTGGTTATCAATCCATCTCATCCGGGATCTTCCTCTCCTGTGCTGTCCTTCTGCCATCCAAGCATGATGTCCTTCTCCGAGGACTGGTCCCTCTGGCCATGTGCCCAAAGTATGTGAGATAGAGCTTCAGAATCCTTGCCTCCAAGGAGAAACTTGTTTCATCCTCTCCAAGACAACCTATTTGTTATCTTGGTGGGCCATGGTATGTTCAAGACTCTTCTTCAGCACCACAACTCAAAAGCATCGATGCTTCTGTCATTCAATACTCTTTGCCACAACCACAATTCCAGTGTGCATAGATCCCCTATGGAGTGGTGACCATGCAAATACAGCATATGGAACTCCACTGAGGGAAATGGTCAGTTTTGCCATGCTGCTAGGCTTGAAAGAGAGTTGTTCCAGAGCAGAGGTGAGGGTGGGGGCTCAGTTCCACCAAGAAACAAGAGCTGGAAGTAGAGCATATCCTCTGGACTCGGTCCCTCCACTGAACACCTTGGAGGCCCAGGAGACAGGAAGAAAGCTGTGAGGTCGGAAACGGTGCCAGAAAGTGAGGAGTAGGGACAGAGAAACAGTGGCAGCAGAACCAGGACACTGGCACAAGACAGCATGGTGGGCTTCCTGGAGCAGGGAGCAAGGCAGCTACAGTGCACGTGCCAACCCGTTCTGGCAAGAGGGCTGAGAGCCTTTGAGCGGGGAGCTACCTGGTACAGTGGGGTGCCTCTGGGCATTTGGTGGTGGAGCTCGGCTCTCCGGCCCACAGAACAAAAGAACAAACTGAGTGTTGGACACATGGGGGGTTCCTCCAGACACTTAGTTAGTGATAGAGATAAGGAACTCTGTAAGGCAAGCACAGCAAACGGGCTAAGGACCTGCGAGAGGCTTGCTTGTGGAAACAGCTGAAAAACTGTTATGAATCACTTCTGATCCTGAATCATAACGTGTTACAATGACCCTGTAACTGCCAGCATGGTCTGAGTTCTGTGTGGCCATTGAGGTGAATTCCTGGACCCAGCAGAGAAGTATGGAGGGCCATGGGAGGGATGACTGGTGTCAGAATTTGTCAAAAGGTTGAAGCAATCAGCCGTGGGCTGTTGATGTTGTTGATGATTCTTTTTCCATCCCACCCCCACGTCAGAGGACCTCTCATGCCACTGTGCCGTTTCTGCACAGCTTATTGTCTAGCTTTTGCATGAATTTGTTATTATGTGTCATCAAGTCTGAACCGACTCATTGCTGCCCCTCCAGGGGGTTTTCAGAGGCAGTAAGTTGTGTCGCAGGAGATTGCCCGTCTTGCTCCCATGGGGTTGCTGGTGGATTTGAACTGTGTGCTTTTTTTTGAGTTGTCAGCACGATCTCTTACCAAAAGGTGATGGCACAGACTGTGACTCGGGTCAGGGGCACCTTAGCCATCAAAGGTCCATCTTTGCTCTTTACCTCTTTGGAGAAGTCTTGCTGCAGGTTTGCTCAATGAAGACTGTTGTTTGGTTTCTTCCCTGTCGCTTCCCCAGGTGCTCACTATCCAGGTGGAGGGAAGTCCTGGACAGCTTCTCCCTTCCTGGGTAATACTGAGTGCCTCTACCTTCCGCATCACCCGCATCACCCGTCCTGCTCTGGATTCCTCCCTTGCCTCTGGCTGTGTCTCCTGAGCTTCCTCAGCAGGAAGGGTTTTGTACCCCAGCAGCACCTCGCCCCTCCTTCTCTGCATCACTGTGGGCTGCCCTGCCACCTCTTGGCTCCATTCCTGCATGAGGCGGTGTGATGGATTCAGCTGACTTTTTGTGTCAGGCCACAGGCCTGCGGCATCAACCAGTTTATGGATTGGCTGCCCTTGGGACTGCCGGAATGGGGCTGGCGGCTGAGGCTTTTCTGCTGGAAAGAGCATGGGAAGGGCTGCCCTGGCCAGGCTAGCCCACTGCATCGCTCAGCAGTGGGGATTCAAATCTACACAATTTAAAAGGGCCTGTTTAAAAGCTTTTAATGTATTTAGATATTAATAAACACACACCAATCTCAAAATGCACTGAAAGGCATAAACAGTAAAAAAAAAAAAAAAAAAAAAAAGAGCAGCTCTCTTCCCGACCTAGAATACCGGGCCAAAGTCAAGCATTGTTACCCATTTTTCTGGGTAGAGATCCCCATGCACCCATATACTTATGCATACATTTCCCCCAGGAAAGAATAGTTCACCAAACTGCTCAGCTCCCCAAAAGATAGTTTTCTAAGATCCCTTTCTCCCAGCTTGTCTGATCTGGTGGAGACCACCCACTGCTGACCTTCTGGTTTCTGAGACAGTTCAATTTCTACAGAAGATCACTCACCTTTGTCCCTCAGAGCAACTGATGGATTTGAACCACTGACCTCCTGGTTAGCAGTCTGACATGTTATGCTTTGTACCATCAGGGCTGCTTATCTGGTGGAGAACTGCTCTAAAGGCAAACCTCCTTCTATCCAGCCCATGGTGACTCACAGTGACCCTCCACGCTTGTGAATATGTGGAGACCGCCCACCTTTCCTCCACAGAGAAGCTTGGGGTTTCAAACTTCTGATCTTTTGGTTAGCAATGACACCTGCGGGCAGCTGGCCACTCGTAAGTCTGTCTGGGCCTGAGGACCGTCTCTGTGCCTTCAGGAGGGTGGAGGGGCCTGAAAGGACAATGCAGAGGAGTGGGAAAGCAAGCTCACCTACTTTGGTTTTGCTTAGAGCTGGCCTGAATTTTTAATGACGCAAATGAAGACATCCCAAAAATACTAGTCCACGTTCATGGCAGTGAGCGAGTGCACCCCCTTCCCTGGGCATGACTTTGCACCATCTGCAAACAAGAGCCAGTGCTGGACCTGCAGTAGGCCCTAGCTGGACACAGCCATCCCAACGGCCTGGCCCATTTACAAGCACTTTCCCAGGGACCAGGACAGGGCCTGTCATCTTAGGTTAATTTGGAGGCCCTGGTGATGCAAATGGTTAATGTCTCAGAAGAAAGGCCTGGCAATTTGCTGGAAAAACGAGCTGTTGCACATCCTGTGGCGCTCAGTTCTGCCCTGAATACATGGGCGCAGTGAGTCAGAATCAACTCCACAACAACTCCTGCAAAGAGACGCACGTTTAGGGAAGTGCATTGTGAGGAAGTGTCTTCTATTGTCTTTATACTTAAAAGTCCTGTGAGCATCTTCATTTTCAACCACAGTTTAACAAAGGCCTCTGATCCCTTTGTGTTTCGTGCAGTTTTTGAGATGGTGGGCTGGTACTGCTGGCTGAGGAAAGCGGTCAAGGGCAGTGCCATTTCCCGCTCCACAGCGGTCTGACCTGGAGCTCTGCCATCACCAGGAGAAGGTGCCCAGTGCACCTCCTGCTCAAGTTCTCCGTCCCAGAGTGGACGTCACTGCTGTCCCACGGGCGCTGGCCAGACAGGAGCTTGTCTCACACACACCTTGGCCCATCCCCAGAGATTGATTGGCCCATTCATACTGGCCTTTCCTCTCCAGCCAGCGCTTATCGACCTCCTGGGGATTTTCTGGTTTAGACTTGTGGGCAGGAGGGACATGGAGGCCTCAGGTTACCTTTGAGAAGCAATGAAGAGAAGAGACTCACTCTCCAGAAACTTGACGATGCTATATTTTCTGTAGCATCTGAACAAAGAGGGGTGAACAGAACTAAATAGCTTTTCATGTCGGCTTGTGTTTGCATGCATTAATTCTAGAGGGATAGACAAGGGCTTGGTGAAAGAAGGGAACCAGGCAGAGAGAGAGAGAGAGTAATATTGCTGGATTTTACACTTTTTAAAGTGTATGTGTATTTTTTTAACTTTTTCATTCATATTGTGAATTCATTTAATAATTTTTCTTTTTCTTCATTCATATTGTTTCTTATGCATACATGCTTATACATTGTGTTTTGTAAAATTAATCACCATTGATCTACGCTCACTATTACCCTGTCTTTTCAGATCCCCACTGAATCATTCCAACTGCCTTCACCCCACCAAACTCTGCGACCCCGTGATCTCCCCCCCACTCAGTTCCTTGTCCCCCTTCCCTTCCCACTCTGGATATCCACACACATCTCACTAGTTATCCTTTTGGTTTTACAATAATGACCTTATGCCATACTTGTCCTGAGCATTCCCTCAGCATAATGTTCTCTAGCCTCTCCCACATTATATAATATTTTTCAAAATCATTGCTCCTGAGTGCTACATAGGATTTCATCATGTGAATGTACCACAATTTCTCAATCCAGTCATTTATTGATGGATATTTGGGCTGTTTCCAGGTTCTTGCTATTGTGAATAACCCTGCTATAATCATCGGTTGTACAAATCTCTGTGTCTCAGTTCTGTTTTCCTTGGGGTATAGTCCTAGCAGTGGGATAGTGGGTCATATGGAATCTCTATTTTTTTTTAGGAAACACCGAACTTCCTTCCACAGTGTTTGTACCATTTTTCAATCCCACCAACAGTGTAGATGAGAGCTCCAGTCTCTCCTCACCCTCTTCAACATTTGTTGTTTGCTGTCCTGCTAAACTTTGTTACCACCACTGGGGTAGGATGATACAATTTTTCACTTTTTATTTAAAAACTTTTAAAAACAGTGGTTTGAATCCACCAGATGTCCATTGCAGAAGGGGGAGGAATATCCTCCTGTGCCCATCAGATCCGACTCAACGGTACACAACAACAACAACAAAAAATCAAACACCCCAAACTTGTAAGAACACTCTAGTTGTATCATTGAGTAAAACTTGTAGGAAAAAAAAATTACACAAAGCCTTCCTTAAAGGTAAGTGAAATCCCTGAGTGCCATAAACTGTTAAACATTTGTCTGCTAACTGAAAGGTTGAAGTTCAAGTCCACTAAGACAAGAGTAGGAAGAAAAGGCTGGCCATCAGCTCTTGAAATCCCTGTGGAACACAGTTCTACTCTGATGCACATCTGGCCCCCAGAAGTCAGAACTGACTTTACGGCAACTGATCTTTACAGAGGTTAGTGGCCAACGTGAGTGGTGTAAGCGTTGACTCCTAATGCTTTGAAACAAGAGTAAGAGGAAGGTCAGCTTGAAAGACCTGCCTCTCTCTCTAACACAAGAGAGTCGCTCTTCATTGAGGAGGCATTTCAACCTTTGTCAACTTGTTCCATTCACTTTTGGAAGCCCCTACTGCCTGGCTGCAGTGGGAAGTTCAGCCACTGTGCTGTGCTGTGTCTGTCTGTGGGGACAGTATTTTGCATTGATCCTCCTGACTCAGTGTGGTGTGGTTGGGGTAAAGAATGTAGCCTGGGTTTACATTCAAAAGGCCCGTGATCACTCCTTAATTCTGCACCTCATGGCAGATCATTTACCCTGGGACACTTGGCTTCTTCATTGACTGCAGTGTGAGGACAAGACTAATTAATAAACCAGCTAGTCCACCAAGCTGCTGAGAAGCACACGTGTGGGAATCCCTGCAGAAGTGCTTCATTAGTCGTAAAGCAGTAAATTAAAGCTGGTTAGAGAGCTACTTGCCGGCCATGACCAGCTGCTCTTGTAACCAGAAGCAGGGAAGCCTATGTCCCCCACAGAGCCGGTGTGTTTACAAGCAGAAATTTCCCAGTGTGCTTTGGAGGCAGCCCGAGAGACTAGTCTCTGGGGACACAAGCGTGCCTTGGCATGTCTGTTTCTTGGCCTCTGTTTTGTCATTTGATCATTTTAGACTCAATGACTTCTCTGTCCTCTACAAAAACATTTTTCACTTTATTAGTTACTATAATTACTTGTCCACTGCTCCCCGCTGTCTGTTGCTGTCCTGTGGTGTTTTGCGTGTTGTTGTGTTGCTATCAGCTATGCCACCAAGATTTTAGGCACCAACAGAGCAGTCACATGTGGTGGACAGGGTTTAGCAGGGTTTCCAGATTAAGATAGACTAGAAATAAAGCTCCAGAGAGCTACTTTGAGGGGGCGAGAAAGGCAAGCAAGGGAAAACCTTATGAACAGCAGAGGAGTATTGTACTGTCTGATACAGTGCTGCAGGATGAGCCCTTCAAGTTGGAAGGCACTATGGCTGGGTGTCGCTGTCAGTTCACCAGCAGCTTAACAGCGACACCCTGATGGGAGTAAGCATGACAGAGATACTCCACTCTGGGAGAGGATCAGAGAGTCAATCCAGGTCCATTTTATTGGGATATGCAGTGCACTTATAAACAGAAAGGCAGGATAGGGTGGGCTTACAGACATGGGACATGTGGATTGGTCAGGAGAACCTCAGCCTTGTGTGGACCACTCCCAGCTTCAACAGACGCAGGGAAGAACTTTCTCAAGCCAGTACACCAAACACAGGGGAGCTTTCTCTACCCATGTTCAAGGCTGTTGGGAGGCTTGCACTTGTCTGGAGCTTAGACGATCTGTCCTGGCCAGAGGCCCTACCTTCCTCCCCAACATTCCGCAACAGCTGGGTAAGAATTACCTTCTCAAATACTATTCACTCATTGCCATTGAGTTAGGACCTGCTCCTAATTGGCCCTTCACTGGGTTTCCAAGATTATTAATAAAATGGGAGGAGATTGCCCATCTTTAGCCTTTGGAGTTGCTGGTGGATTTGAACTAAGACGTTAAGGCCTTTGGAATAATAATGCAAGTCCCCATGGACTAGATCACCTCAAAGCAGGGTCTATCTCAATGACAGAGATGAAGTAAAGCTTTCAGGAACCCTATTTACCACTTGGAGTACAATATAAAATGAGAAAAAGTAGCTGCAACCAGTTAATAATCAGAACAAAAGAAATACACAAAGGGTGAATCAGGGAAAATGGAAATGAATAAAAAACAAATGGAACACTTGAAGATTAATGTTCTGGACATTAGTGTGCTGAACTGGATGGGTCTGGGCCATGTTGAATTGGATAATTATATGGTTAACTATGCCTGGAATTACAAATAGAAGAGGAATGGTATTAGATTCATGATAAAAAAGGAACATTGTAGGATCTGTCTGGAAGTTCATTTCAAGATCTATCCATCAGCGATAGAATAATACCCATTACCCACAAGGAAGGTGCAGCTGCTTCTCGTGTACAGCAGGCATGTTGTTAGGAGAGACTATTTCTTGGAGAGGGACATCAAGCTTGGAAAGGTGGAGGGCTGGTGAAGGAAAGGAAGGCCTTTAACCAGATGAATTGACACAGTGACTGCAGCAATGGGCTAAACATGCTGGAGATGATGAGGATGGCACAGGGTAGGACAGGGTTCAGATCTGTTGTTCATAGGGTGACTGTGAGTTGTACTTGATAGTACCTAACAACAACAGGGAAGACTAGTTATTCAAATTCAAATTTATGTACCGTTCAAATGTATGTACCAATCATTAATGCTAAAGATTAAGAAACAAGATTATTACCAACTTCTGCAATCTGAAGTTGATCAAACACACAGTTAAGGTGCATTGATAATTACTGGTAAGAGGAATGAGAAAGCTGGAAACAAGGAAGAAGGATGAATGGTTGGAAAATATGGCCGTGGTGATAGAAATTACGTGGGAGATCACATGACAGAATTGTGCAAGACTAATGAATTTTTCATTGGAAATACCTGTTTTCAACAGCATAAATAACAAGTATATACCCAGATGTCATTGAAATAAATACACAGGAAGCAAATCTATTACGTCTCTAGATGATAAAGAGTCTCATTGTCATCATTCAGTACAAGGCCAGCAGTCACCTGAGGAAAAGACCATCGGTTGGTTATATGTAAATTCAAATTGAAGTTGAAGAAAATTGAGACAAGTCCATGAGAACCAAAGTATAACCTTGAATATATTCCACTTTCATTTAGAGACCATCTAAAAAATAGATTTTATGCATCAAACACCAGTGACCAATGATGAACTGAGTTGTAGAGTGATGTCAGAGACATCACACATGAATAAAGCAAAAAGTTATTAAAAGAAAAGAAAAACAAAACCCCAATTATGTATCAGAAGAGACTCTGAAATTTGCTCCTGAGTAGGGAATAGCTCGGCACCAGCATTTATGAAATCCAAAGATAAATTGCATTGGGAAAGTCTGTGGTCAGGGACTTCTCTAGAGTACCAAAGATTAATGATGTCAGTCTGGAGATTAAGTGCACCAGATCCAGGCCATGGTCTTCACAATTACTTCCTATGCATCTGAGAACTGGACAATAACTAAGGATAATAGAAGAAGGATCAATGCCTTTGAATTGTGGTTCTAGAGAAGAGTGTTGAACATACCGTGAACTGCCAGGAGAACAAACAGGTCTGTCCTATGGTTGGTAAAACCAGGATACTCCCTGGAGGCAAGGATTTTGAAGCTCTCTCTGACATACTTTGGGCACATGGCCAAGAGGGACCAGTTCTTAGAGACATTAAGCTTGGAAGGGTAGAGGGACAATGCAGGAGAGGAAGACCCAGAATGAGATGAATTGACACAGTGACTAGGGAAATGGGATTAGGTTTGTTAAAGATGATGAGATTGGTTCAGGATAAGGCAGGTTTTAGAGCTAATGTACATAAAGGTCTTTATGAGTCACCGATGACTTGGTGGCATATAACAACAACAACAACAACAACAACAACAATGAATAGTTACAGTAAACAGAAGGAATGATGAACTGAGAGTTGAAACAATTTCAAAGAATGTCTTGAGAAGACAAAGCATGATCATGGAACATCAAAACTCTGGAGCTAGAAAACCAAAGAGGAAGATCACACTTGGCATTTCTCAAGCTGGAAGAACTATAGAAGAAAGTCAAGGATCCAATTGCAATTTTGAAGGATTCTATGGGGGAGAAAATGAACAATTCAAGACTCCTCACCAAAGAAGATGAAAGGAGCATCCAGAGACATTGTTCCCCAAAGACCTGGCAGACAGTCAACCTTTTCAAGAGACAGCGTATGATCAAGAACCAACGGTGCTGAAGGAGCGCGTCCGTGCTGAACTGAAGGGGTTGATGGAAAAATAAGCCTCTAGGCATTGACTGAACATCAATGGAAATGTTTCAACAAAGAGAGGCAACACTGGAAGTGCTCACTCATCTATGTCAGGAAATCAGAAACGGGAGATCCATATATGTAGTTAATTCAAAGAAAGGTGATCCAACAGAATGTAGAAACTACTAGACAGTGTGTCATTTATTTTACACACAAGATTTTTTTATTACTAATTTTAATGAATGTTTACAGACTTTGGATTCCCATTCATTCATTGTTGCATTTTTTTCCCTTCCCACCTTTCCCTCCCTAGTTCGCTTTTCTCTTTGAAAAGTAAAAGAAAAATTTTCATTGTTACAAAATCCCTACCCCACCTCAGTCCACTCCACTATGCAGCCTTCGTTCTGGACTCTTGTCATGACAGTAATACCTAATCATATATCGTTTTTAATCGTTTTCTCTCTCTCATCTGTTTCAATACAGTATACATAATTTATCCCATCTCTCTCAGTCTCCCCCTAACCCCGATGTCAGTTCCGTTTTATAACAGTGGCACTAAGTAATATTTGTCCTTTTGTGACTGAAATATTTCACTCAGCATAATGTCCTCCAGGGTCATCCATTTTGTATAATATTGCATGTTCCTTGTTTTTCAATGCAGCATAGTATTCCATTGTGTGAATATACCACAGCTTCTCTATCCATTCATTTGTTAATGGGCACTTAGGTTGTTTCCAACTCTTTGCTATTGTGAACAAAGCCACGATAAACATGGGTGTTCATTACACACAAGATTTTGCTGAAAAACTAATTGTCTTTGACTCAGAACAAACTCATAGCTGACCTTCCACTGGATTTGCCAGGCTGTCAGTCATGTGGGAGGAGATTGTCATCTTCCTCCAGAGGTGCTCCACCTCCTGACGTGGAATCGAACAGCCAGAGTTGGTGAGTCCTTTAGCAGCTCCCTGTGGACTGCACAGAAATTATTGCAGCAGTTTATAGGTAAGGAACTGCCAGAGATTCAAGCTGGATTCAGAAGATGTGGAACAAAGGATATCAATGCAGGTGAGCTCTGGTGACCTAGTGGCAAGAAGCTGTCCTGCAATCTCAGAGGTGAGTGGTTCGAATCCACCAGATGCTCTGGTGGAGAAGGAGGCACAATCTCCTTCTGTATCATTCAAAATCTGATTTGATGGTACACACACACACACACACACACACACACACACACACACTATCTTGGCTGAAAATGGAGAACACCAGGAAGATACTTACTTGTGTTATACTGAATATACAAAGATTTCATATGTATAGGTGTGGGTCCTAACAAATTATAGATACCACTGCAAAAAATCTCACACTTGGACTGCAGGATTGCGGCTGTTTCTCCTAAATCTCATTGCCTCCTAGAGCTTTTCAAATGCCCATCCTGGTTCACCTTCCTGTCCTTACGTATTAGCCCCTTTGTGGCATCAGCTTCCAAGGTTAACATGTCCCAACAGTGAAACACCCTCAGAGCTTCAGTACCTAAATATACACAGATCCCATTCATCTCTGCTGGACGACCTTGCTTGAGCTTTCCTCTGCCCAGAATTATCTTGTCCACATTCCCATCCTACTCTTCACTGCATCCTGATCCTTTTAGAATCCTTAAGGTCTTTGGCTTGGGTGGAGGGACAGTGCAGGGGAGGAAGACCCTTGATGAGGTGGATTGATTCAGTGACTGGGGTATTGGGGGTAGATGTGTCAGAGGCAGTACGATTGGCATAGGATAGAGCAGGGTTTAGGTATAGAGGGTCGCTGTGAGTCACTGGTGACTCGAGGGTGTATAACAACAGCAACAGCATCAACAAGAACAACAACAAGGTCTTTGACTTAATTGTCCTTCCTTACAGAGGACAACCTTAACTCAGCTCCTTGCCAAGTGTTTTCTTGAAGTGTGTCCTGGCTTGGTGGCATCTGCCACCATTCCTAATTCTATCTTTATGTCTGTTTGTTGTCTTGGACTATAAGTTGCCCAAGGGCTGGAACCATGTCATCAGTTGTCGCATCAGTGTAGACACAGCAACTGGCGTGGATACCGAGTGAGGCTCAGCTCAGACACTTGGGTATTCATGAACTAGAACTTGGTTCACGTTTTCTAAGCTGACATTCATTTTGGGCCCCCTGCTATCATGTTGGGAGGCCTCACCACCACTCTCTCCCTCTCTGATCCAGCCTGGGACATCTCCTTCTGTGAGAAGCAAGGGTCTGTTCCTTCACCTCCTCCCTCAGCGTCTGGCTAAGATCCCGCATCTTCTCCTGACAGTCCTCTTGTCCCTCCTTTGCCCCCCTCTCTAAATTTCCTATGGAGAACAAAAAGCAGAGCTTGCAGCCTATCTTTGCTTTCTGTCCAACCCTTTCCTCCCAAACAACAAAGTTCAGAGCAGCCTTCCTGCTGGGGGCTGGGGCGGGGGGGACAGGGAGTAGGGGAGGAGAGAGTGAAGGGCATAGATTTTTATCTCAAAATATTATCTTAGCCACCAATGAATCAGTAAGTTTGGAGGGGAAAGGTAGATGGTAGGAATGGGAGCACCTTCAGGAACAGGTGGTCCTGTCTGATAGTGGATTTGATTCAAAGCCGAGTGCAAGTTTACCGAGGGTCACGTGTGGATTATGATGGGATAAACCACTGCAGAGTAACAACAATAGTAAATAAGACTGACATTTATTGAGCTCCCATCCTGTGCCAAGCATTGAACTGGCCTTTTATAGATAGCATTTCTAACCTCAGAGTCTGGGCTCTTCTTCAATGCCATGTTATCTCTTCTAAAAAGAAAAAAAATTGCTTTATTTCCCACAGGGCCAATCAGCAGTAAATGGTACCGGGTGCTCTGCTGGTGGAGAGTGGGGAAAGAGGCTCTTGGTGACAGGGAGATCAGACCAGACCAAGTGAATCAAGCCCCCTGTCCTTCAGCAGCTCTTCTGCTGCACAGCTAGGTTCCAAATGCCAGCACTGGCCCACCAGCCAAGGTCTGTCAGAATCCAGCCTGATGCGGGTAAAACCCACCCTGGGTCTCTTGAATTCTTGGCTTTTTTTTTTTTTTCAATTTAATGACTTGTTTCTTTTATTAGATTCCAAATTGCAATGATGACAAACAATACAATCAAATACCAAATTGAATGTTTCTGCTGCCCAGTACTTCCCTGCTGTCTCCAAAATCCAAGCTTCATTCCTATCAGCTATCAGGAAGCTGTTGTGGTAACTGAATTCCATACCACCCTCTGTACAATTTCCACCCTGGCCATATCTTTCTAACAAATCAGCAATGACACTGAGGGCTTTTTCCGCTGTATCAGCTCTTTCAAGGCCAAGCCTGACAAGGTCCATGCCCAGGAGAGCCTCTTCATCACTGACTTCTTCTCTTCCCCACACGGCTTCGTTCCCAATGCAAACGCCATGTTCATTGGCTCCCATTTCTGCCCCCCACAACCACGCTGGACGACTAAGGACAACAGCATATGTCTCACGCACTTGCACAATTTCTATGTAAGTACACTTAAGATGTTCTTCCACGTTATCATGAACTGCAGCAGGAAAATAAACTACCTCTTGAACTTCATCACAGAGCCTATCTGAATTTTTTCCAAAAATAATCCTGTTACCAACTGTTGCTGGAGGTAATGCCACAAAGGTGTCACAGGAGCAAGGTTTCATCTTGTTGTTTTTTAAAAACTGGCCTCGGAACTTCCCCCGCCGTGAGCTCGAATTCTTGGCTTTTTTTAATGCTTAGCTACCAAGCCAAAGGTCGTATAGCCCTGGAGTGTCCACTTGCTGTACAGAGGTAACTTGTGGTCACTGTGAAGCTGAACACTGTGACACTGATGTGTCAAATGCGTTAATGGTTACCCATGGGGGACAGTGTTTGTTGGAGCTCCCCAATTAAAACAAGCTTGCAAGCAAGAGCGGCATCCACTTCCATAAGAGCTCACCTCCGGAAACCCTATGAACCTGGAGAAAGGATGAAAGTCACACAAGTGTTGAGGACTTTTGTTCATAGGGTCGCTATGAGGAGCCTACGACTCGACGGCACTTAACAACAACAATAGTACCGTGTAAAATGACTCTTGTTTCTTTTCAAAACCACTTCACTTATTTAATGAATAAAGATACTATAAAAAGAATTGACACCTTTGAGCTCTGTGGTGTTGGAGAAGAGCACTGAACGTCCCACTGATGGCCAAGAAAGGGTGTAGCCAGAATGCTCTTTGGAGGCAAAAATGATGAGGCTTCCCCTCACATACTTGGGGCATGTTCCTTGGAGAAGGGTAGAGGGTTGGTGAAGGAGACGAAGACCCTCAACCAGATGGATTGACATGGTGACTGATGCAATGGGCTCTTGTGTATCAGGAAGTGTGAGGACGAGAACACATAACAACAACAGCAGCAACAACATTTTATACTTTCTTAACTACAACAGTATCACATATTATCTGATGATTTATTGGTACTTGCCTTTCTTAGATGATTTGTCTTAACATTGAAAGTTAACTTTGTTAAGCACTTGCTATATGCCAGAAGCTGTTCTCTTCTTACCACTAGGCCACCGGGGCTCCCAGGTATTTACTTGGATGAACTAATTTAAGTCTCTCAACAACCCTGTGCAGCTTTCCCTTTTAAAGATGGGGCATCAGAAGTGCAGAGAAGGTAAAAGATTTGCTCAAGGTCATATAATTGTCAGCTTTGCAGAGCTGGGCTCCTTGCCAATTGCAGTCTCATTTAATACCCCCCCCCCAGATTTCTTCTATGAGAAAAGATGCAATTTTCTTAGAAAGTCAGGCACATAGTGGTATATTTCAGTTCATGTGCACTGTGAGGGAAGTTTACCAATCATGGAAAGACCTCAGAGGGCAGGCATTGAAATATAATAAAGGCATTGATGCCAACCATGAAGTCAGAAGATGCTACCTCCGTATCTTAGCCGTAATGTCTACTGACTGTGGACTTTAGGCAAGTTGCTTGTATCTCTAAGCTTCTCACTATTTTTCCTCACTTGTCAAGTGAGATTAAGATACTCTACTTTAGAAGACTGTGGTGAAGAGCCCAATAGAGATGTGTATGCATATATACATGGTAGATTCGAACTGTGTGTGTCTGGATCTCTCATGGCTTAGTGGTGAGGAGTTGGACTGCCAACATGAAGTCAGCTGGCTTGAATCCCCTGGCTGCTCTGAGGGAGAAAGATGGGTAATCTCCTGTGGTGGGATTTACGGCCTCTGAATGTCCTCTAGAGGGTTAGTGATAAGTCAGTTCTGACTCAACAGGGTGTAACTAACACACACACACACACACACACAC